AATTTTAGAAAATAAGATAAACATAAATTATGATATAATGATCCAAAAATCATGAACTTTCTAGATAAGATACTTAAAATATGGTTGAAAATAGGCAAATAACTCATTTTTTATGGGAGATTGTAAGAATTTTTCTTAGAATCATGATGCACCATGATACTCCTGCCCCAATCTCTCCATTATTTAGGATTGCAAAAGTACAGCATATCTGATGTGTTTTGGTTGGCCCAGGAACCTAAGTAGAGCCATCCATGTGGCTCCAACATCCTGCGAAAGTCCTTGCAACATGGCCTGAGACAAATAACTTACTTCTTTTTTTTTTTCTTTACTTAATGTTTAAAACATATTCCTAAACAGAATGGGCCGACTCAGGACTCAGTGATGATCGCTGCTGCTCTCTATAGCAGAGCAAACTACAAAAATATACGACACTGTTTCTTTTTTCCCAATGTCAGAGGTGAAAAACATACAACTTGCTTCTGAACCAAAACTACAATTTCAGCAGTTTAACGTTTCACTGCTAATAGCCCTGGTAGAAATTACGTAGTTTCTTTCTCCTTGAAAAAATTTTTTTTAATTTTTTAATTCATTAAATTATCAGTCTGGAATGTAGATTCTGAGCACAGTGAAGCTCGGTTACCCCAAAATATAAAGAAAAAATTCCCATCACCTGTCTCAGGAGGGCCTGAAAAGAGAGAAGTAGTGTGGGGAACCCCTGCTTTGGTATGGAGTATCACTGTCACCCCTTGACCCAGACTGAGATGGCAAGTAGCCCATAACTGGTGCTTTTCTCGGGATAAACGCAGATGGAGGAAGTTTCACGCTCATGAGAGCAAAATTAGGAGTCATCCAGTTTAGGCAGGGCATACTCCATGTCTTCTTTGCTGAGATACTTAACCATCCTAATTCTATCCTCCTGTATAACTGCATAACAGCTTCTCGCATGTGATCCTTCAGGTCCTGCCAGCTTCCTGAGGGAGGAAGTTCTAAAACAAGAACTCGGAACTCAGATGTCCGTGTAGGACGGCCATTCCTCCTACCGCGGGGCCACCAGCCCCGAACTCCGTAAGTCCTGGGAATTCCCCTCGAAGATGGCACTGGCCATATTGATAACCATTTCTTCCATACATTGCATTCTCAGCGTTTTGGGGGTCCTCAAAGCCAAGGAAGGCAAAGGGCACAAGGCAGAGCTGGTTCTTGAACTCCATCTCCAGGATGTATATTTGGAGAGATTTTTGCTATAGGGCCCGTGCGCTCGCCAGAGAGAGAGAGAAAGAGAGACAGAAAGCAGAAAATCACCCCCCAGGGGGGAATGACCACGCCACAATCCCTTCTCCTCCATTCTCCTCCATTCTCCTATCGGTACCTTGGGCATGCACGCACACGCGTCCTGGTGTGATTTTAAGCCACCGGGTCCGGGACTCGAACCGTGGTCGACTACGTGGGAGTCCAGCGACATAGCCATTACACTAACTGCTGGTCCCTCGAGGATGCATAATTGTAGAATAAGTCCTCCAGGTCCTTCTTGCGCACATAGGTTGGAAGGCTCCCCAGGTAGATCCGCCAGTCCTCTTCGCTGCTGCCCCCGTCTGCCCGGCGCGACAGCTGCACAGCCTTTCACCACAGGCTGTTGCAGCTCATGTCACCGCAGAGGCCTCAGCATGGGCAATAGCTAAATTTTTTATTTTCTTTTTTTTTTAATTTTTTACATTTAATCACATGTCTTTAAAGTATACATTTCTTTTTCCAGCACAAATACCGTGCATGTCAGTCAAAACAAAGATATTACTATATATATTATCATCAGCAAATAGCTTCTCATTTTTTGTCAATTAAGCATACTTTTATCAGTTTTTTCATTCCTCTTTCCCCCCCCCCGCACCCTCCCTTCCATACTAAACTATTTTTCACACTTTATTGATTCACAAAAGATCTTAAACTAAAAGGATGGACAAAGCGGATATCTAATGACAAGTGCACTGTGCCTTGTGGGTTGAAACTGCTTCCCAAGTGTCTCTTCTCTTGTAGCCCACAAATTCCCTGTCAAATACCCATGAAGACAAAGACTATGCTTTATGAAAAAGGTCTGAAATCAGGCAGCTCAGGGTACATTATCCCTAACCCCTAGAGTAGTCTAAAGTAGAAATTTCAAATAATATAATAATCTGTTTCATCTTAGCTGCAGGAAAAAAAAAGAGTACATATGATATATTAACGTTATAAAATCTTAATTTTTGATTTGAACAAATGGTAACTGAAAACTCAAAATCTAGTTTAAAGTATCACAGAATGCCATGTAAATATGAATTGACACTTTTTTTTTTTTTAAATGTTTACTTCAGAGCCAGAAGGTGATGTGGCGGCTGAGGTGCTAGATTCTCACATGGTCACCTACAGTTTGAGTCCTGAACCTGGCAGCTTGCTTTCTGGCTTTCTCTCTCTCTCTCTCTGTCTCTCACTTCTCTCTCTCTCTCTCCCTCTCTCTCTCTTTCTCGTGAATGTACATGCTCTATAGCAAATTTTTAAAATAATAATAAAATTAAATGAATATTTCTTTTTTAAAAATGCTTAATTGGGGTTAGCAAATGGTATAGTGGTTAAGGCGACGGACTCCCACATGGCTGATTCACGATTTGAGTCCCAGACTCTGTGACTTAAAAATCACACCAGACATATGAGTAAGCATGCCTAGAATCCTGAGAAGAGAGTAGACAAGAAGGGATTGTGGCATGGCAATCCCCCAGAGAAAGTGATTTCTCACTTTCCCTCTCTCTGTCTTTTTCTGGTGATTGCATGTGTTCTATGGCAAAAATCTAAAGTAAAATAAAATTAAATTAAAACAAAATTAAAATATAAAATGTTTAATTTTACAGAGAGTACTTTTTTATAAATGCCATTAATTTTATTTTTTAAAACATTTATTTATCACAGTGTGGAATGGGGGAAGTGAAGAGAAGAGGATAGAGAAAGATAGCAAGTGAACAATAGAGAGGCAGGATGTTAATGAGAAACAGATATGGTTTATTACCTGTTGATGATGATATGTATAGTATTCTCAACTGGATTGGTCTGAGTAGTATTTCATGATGGGCAAAGTATTTTTACAAGCAAAATGAGAAACAAACAGCGATTGACTGTTTTAAAAAATAATTAGAATAATAATAATGATTGGGGAAAACAGAAAAAAATATCGAATGTTGAAGTGGGGAGATTAATGTCTTTGTACTGACTGACATGCATGGCATTCCCTTTTGAAAAAGCAATGTAATACACTGTAAAGTTATATGTAATCCAATGTAATATAAAAAAGATTATGATGATAATAAAAAATTTAAAAAAGAAAAAAACATTTATTTATCTATTTGACACACGTTATTTTCTTTTCATTATTATTAATTATAGTTTTTCTTTAACAAGTACACTCTATGAAATAAAATTTTTTTTTGGTAAAAATCATAATTAATAGGGTGATTAAAACTAGAACTAGTAGTAGCCAAAACATAGGACTGATTATGAAATGCACTAGAGTATGTTTTTATTTATCAAGAGAACAAAAGGGTGGGTTCATCCTAAAATAAAATGCCTGGTGATTCCAAAATGTGAAAGATAATAGCAGAATACAAAACCCATTGCATATAGAAAGCTGTTGAAAGTTCAGGAGGGCTCTGTTTGACTCAGAGACACACACACAATCACAAATGCACACACACACACAAGGATGTCAAAACAGAATTAAAGTACCAGTTTATTTTGGTGCAAAAAATTTTAAATACATGCTATTACATAAACTTTTTTATTATACATATAATATTCAAAAAATGACTCTGAATAGAAGCTGTGATATACATTAAAAGTTTACACAAAACTCAGCTTTGTTGTTTTTATTTTTTTAATCTTAGAAAGTCTTTATTGCCAAATATTAAAGCAAGACTATAGCTTGCTTTTCTACCTGTTTGAAGAATGTGGCAAATTTGTTAGCTTTTTCCTTCTTTTAACAGAAACAGGAAATATTGCACTTTACCTTCCATAGAGTCCTCCTAGTTAGCAGAGATTTTATACCTCACAGGAATAACTTTGTACTTTATGCTGACTTTATATGCACTGTTATTGAAAGAAATAGTTGTTTGCCTATTACTGAGCTATACTATTATGTTTGCCTATTACTGCCTATACTATTACACAACTATTTTTGTTCTCAGATACCTATACTACATATACTACTGTTGTGGTTTGATTAAAAGATATAAATATTTGTGACCAGCTTGCAAAATTCTCAATGTTCTACATTTAAATAACCGGATAAATATATTGAAGTCCTAACACCCAGTATCTGTGAATGTACCTTTATATGCAAGCAGAGTCTCTGCAGGTGTAGTCAAACTAAGGTCACACTGGATTACGGTGGGTTAAGAGGAGACTTCTCCCTGTTCTGAAGGCTTTAAAGTAGCCTGACTTCCTATGCATTTCTAATAATAACTCTATATAATATTATTCCTTAGGAATTGAAGTTTAGGATTAGTATAATCAATGGTTTCTAACTACTTTATATGTAATGTCTTCTCTCCTTTCAAAAGCAAATATCCTGGGAACCAGCAGTTGGTGTAATGGCTATGTCGCTGAACTCCCACATAGTCGACCACAGTTCGCGTTCCGGACCCAGTGGCTTAGAACTCAATCCGGGCGTGTGTGCGTGCATGCCCAAGATCCCAAGAGGAGAATGGAGGAGAAGGGATTGCGGCATGACCATCCCCCCTGGGGGGGTGATTTCTCGCTTTCTGTCTCTATGTCTCTCTCTGTCTGTGTGGTGAACACACGCGCCCTGCAGCAAAAACCTCTCAAAAAAAAAAAAAAGCAAATATTCTCTCACCTAAGTGAAAGACAAAATAGTCTAATATTTTGCAAATTATCAAATTAAGGTAAGATAAAGAAACTTTTTTCTAAATTTGATTTCACAATGAATGTCATAGGCAATGAGGCTTCTTTGCAATACAGGCAGCCACCTATGAGATCTTTCTGTAACTCCCTAGCTGTCTACATACTCTTCTCATTGCCACCTTCATTTCTTGATTCCTGAACGTATAGATGACCGGATTCAGAAAAGGAGTAAGAACTGCATCAAAGATTGCCAGAAACTTGTCCAGGTGTGTGGATGGAGATGGCCATGTGTAGAAGAATATCAGTGGACCAAAGAACAAGAAGACCACAGTGATGTGAGCTGAAAGTGTGGACAGAGCCTTGGAAGAACCAGCTGACGAGTGCTTCTGGACGGTGAGAATTATGACAATATAGGAAATGATCAGTACAAAGAATGAGCCCACAGAGATGAATCCACTGTTGGCTGTGACCATGAACTCCAGTTTGTACGTGTCTATGCAGGCAAGTTTTATGAACCGAGGAAGATCACAGTAAAAGCTGTCCAATACATTAGGGCCACAGAAAGGTAAATTAATTACAAAAGCCAATTGAATCACAGAGTGTGTAAATCCAATCATCCATGCAGCCACTAAAAGGAATATGCACATTCTTGGACTCATAATGGTCAGATAGTGGAGAGGCTTACATATGGCCACATATCTATCAAAGGCCATGGCTATGAGCAGCACCATCTCCACACCACCAATTACGTGGATGAAGAAGATTTGAGTGATGCAGCCACTAAAGGAGATGACTTTGCGCTTTTTGAAGAGATCATAAATCATCTTGGGAGAAGTGACAGAAGAAACACCCAGGTCAATGAAGGAAAGGTTGGCCAACAGAAAATACATGGGAGAGTGCAAATGAGGGTCAGAAATCACAGTGAGCATGATGAGGGAATTTCCCATCATGCTTGCTACATACAACATGAAGGAAAAAATAAAGAGGAGAAGTTGAATCTCCCAGGAATTGGTGAGTCCCAGGAACACAAACTCTGACACCACAGAGTGATTCCCTCCTTCCATTGGCTTGATTGGCAGTGCTACCTAATGAAAAACATTAAGAAAAATGCATATCATGATCATTACAGTAACAAACTATTGAGTCATTGGAAAAGTCATGATGTATTTTCTGTGTTTTTCTGCAAAAATGCAACATTACTTTTCCAATGACCCCAAAGAGAGAAGTCAAAGTTATAAAAGCTTATGTCTGCTTGAACATTAAAACCAACCTCTGTACAGGTATATGTAAAATGTTCAACATCACTCATCTTCAGGAAAATGCAAATTAGAACTACCATGGGATATCATATCATACCAATTAAAATGGAAATTATCAAAAAAGACCAAAGATAACAAATTTGATGAGGATGTGAAGTAAGGAAATCCTCTTGCTGTGTTGATGGGGAAGTAAATTACTATAGTCAATTAGGAAAACTAGAGGTTCCCCAAGTTAAAAATAGAACTATCATGATTCCACAATTCCACTATGGACATATATCCAAAGGAAATTAGATTAGTGATTTGAAAAACAGTATTTCTATTCCCATTTTGACTGCAGCATTATTCACAAAAGCCAAGATAAGGAAACTTAAATGTTCATCAAACAGATGAATGAATTGAGAAAATGTGGTGTGTGTGTGTGTGTGTGTGTGTGTGTGTGTGTGTACGCACGTATACATGAGTGTGTATGTATATGTATGGAATGAAATGTTCTTCAGCCTTAAAAGAAAGAAAAAGGAAATCCTGTCATTCACATTATGGGTCAACTTGTGGATATTATGCTAAGTGAAATAAGACAAACACTGTAAGTCCTCACTGTATGGAATCTAAAGAATTCAAGTTCATAGAAGCAGAAAGTAGAATGGTGATAGCCAGGCATTGGTTGGGAGCAGAAAAGAATGGGAGTTTTTAGTCATAGTGTAAAAAGTTTCATTTAGAAAGGATGGAAATTATTTTGATATCTGTTATACAACATAATGACTCTACTTAATAAGTTCAACGCTAGTTCAAGTATGTGATAAATGTATTGCATACTTGAAAACTGCTAAAAGAATACATCTTAAATGGTCCCACCATGAAAAAATTAACTATGTGAGATCATGATTATAAATGGGTATATGAAAATAGGTATATTAGCTTAAATAAGATATGCTTTGGGATCAGCAGTTGGCATAATGGCTATGTCGTTGTACCCCCATGTAGTCAACTGTGGTTCAAGTCCTCGACCCGGTGACTTAAGCTCATGCCAGGCGCATGTGTGTGCATGCGCAAGATCCTGAGAGGAGAATAGAGGAGAAGGGATTGCAGTGTGGCCATCCCTCCTGGGGGGTGATTTCTCGCTTTCTACCTCTCTGTCTCTGTCTTTCTGACGAGTGCACACACCCTATAGCAGAAACCTCTCCAAGAAAAAAAAAAAAAGATATGCTTTATACTATTAACATATATGATTTTTATTTGTCAAGTATACTTTAATAAAGCTAGGGGCTAGGGGAAACCTAACATAGACTCTGAAATTGGGGTCACACAGAGAGAGATGGGTGGCTTTCTTTTGCCAACTTGTCTCTGCATTTAATACCCCTCTGCCTTCTCTGAGGGTAGTTGCTAAGATGCCTTTCATGAAATGCAGATTGATAAATGGAGTATGAGCAATTCAATCCCAAACTTTTCTTTTTTATTTTTGCTTCAAGGCTAATATAGTCTAGCTCCACAAAAAAACTATTTACATTTTTCATCTAATGTATCCCTTTCCAAGATTACATCCTCATTGTGAGAGGGAAAAAAAAAAAAAAAAGAAATCCTTCATTCTCACTCCTCACATCTGGAAAATATTTATCTTCAAGGTTTATTAAATGTTTATCATGGCCATAAGGTCTACTAGCATTTATTTTACTGTCTCTCATATTTTAGAAAGTTGTGTACAAGCCCAATTTAGCAACAGCTTATAAACTTCTTAAAGGCAGGGATTACGATTTATTCACATTGGCATTTTCTAAAGCAATGCAAGTGTAATCCACAGAGAGATGTTGATCCACAATTGTCAGTTACCAGCTTGCCCCACATTATGTACAGAAGCAGAGTGAGTGTTTAGAAAGATCTCTATTAATTTGACATTATAGCCAATGCCAAGTGTCTGATTTTGTATTCTAGTAAGGAATCAACCCATAAAGCATTAGTAAAAGCAGCCTAGGTGATTTGAGAAGTACTGCCTAAGAGAATTTAGCACTTAGTCTGAACAGCTTAAACCTATGAAGAAAGGTATTGTGGTAAAATAGTATTTCCTGAAAGATAGACAGAGATGTATTTGGATGATTAAAAAACACATGAATACAATGTCTCACCTTCACAGCCTGGCTCGACACTCTATGACTAAAACCAATTGACTAAAGGATATAGCAACACAGTAAATGGTTGTGAATACCATATATAGAGTAGGAAGAGGGTGGGTGAAAAAGTAGAGTCAGAGGAAGGACATTTAGAAGAAAAATAGACAGGCAAAGCACTGAGACAAAGACATGGGGTATTATCTGTTGAAGATAACTTTATAGTATTATCAACTGAACTAGGAAGAAATGTACACATGTTGGAATATTCACTTTGCAAGATAAATAACATGATTTACTGTATAAAAGAACTTGAAATTTTAAAAAAAGTTAGAAAAATAAACATAACAATTACCATGAAAAACACATGAATATATGCATGATTATATAGTTAAGGAAGATGAGTAAAGAGACTATGCGGGGTTCCTAAGCAACAAAGAAATATAAAGAATGATAAAAGTGAATAGGAATTAGGGGCCAATATGTGGCACAGTGGTTGAGGTGCTGGATAACCACATGGCCAACCATGGTTCCAGATCCAGACATAGTGGCTTGTAAATTATACCAACAACATAAGCATACATTCCCAAAATCTCAAACAAGAATGGAGGAGAAGGGACTGTGGTGTGGCTATCCACCCAGAGGTTGATTTCTCACTTTCCCTCTCTCTCTAGCTTTGCCTCTCTCTGGCAAGTGCACATGCACTATGGCAAAAACCTTTAAAAAGTGAGAAGGAATTGACAAAAAAGAAAAACAAGAGATATTTTAAAAATCAAAAAGGACTAAGACATTTAGAAAGTTTGTACAAAGTTACAAAGAGAAGACACATAAAGTTTACTTTAAATAAGAGAAAATTTATGAGCTATGATTTTTATTACTGTTTGGATCCATTCTTCAGAAATTTTACAATTATAAACAAATTATAGTACTGTATCTCCAGATGTCTATTAAATGCTAAGGCCCTTGAGTTTTTCAATGAGCCTTTATTAGCTGTGCACTATCTCTGTGAATATACTTAATGTTTTGGCTCTCCCATCCCCATCAACTAAGAACCAAGAAATTTAAGAAAAGTTATATTAAAGCAGAACAAGGTACAAATATAAAAGCTAGATGTTCTAAAATGATGAGACTATATCAGCTCAAATGTCAGGAATATATAACTCATAAAGTTTGAGTCACCAGAGTTTAAAAGTCATTTGAGATGCACATTATCAGATGTTGTTCAGAAAAATACTCACAGGGTGACAGGGTGGTTTGTAAACGGAGACTCAAGATCTTTTTTTTTTTTTTTTTTGGACAGACAGAGAGAGACATAGAGACAGAAAGCGAGAAATCACCCCCCCAGGGGGGATGGTCACACAAAAATCCCTTCTCCTCCATTCTCCTCTCAGGATCTTGGGCATGCACACACACACGCCTGGAGTGAGTTTTAAGCCACTGGGTCCGGGATGCGAACTGTGGTCAACTACATGGGAGTCCAGCAACATAGTCATTACTCTAACTGCTGGTTCCCAAGATCTTTTGTTTATTCATTTAGAAGTCATAAATACCAACAGGGGAAAACCCCTGAATAATGGTATTTTGAAATCATCTCTCTTATAGATTGACTGCACTTTAAAATATGCATTAAAAACACTCATCATTTTTCTCTTATTTTATTTTTTAATTTATATTTAATCATTATGTATCTTTACAGTGTACAACATTTTTCCAACATAAATATAGTGTACATCAGTCAAAGATAAAGACATTACTGTATACATCAGCAGCAGCAAACAGCTTTTCATTTTTGTATCAGTTAAATATATTTTCCTCTGTTCCTCTTCCCCTCTCTCTGTATTATCCAATCCCGTATTAACTTTATTATTATTATCTCTACGATCTACAGTTGCCTCCTATTACTATACCTTCCAAACTTTCAGTTTCTGCCATTGAGCACAGCCATTCAGTATATATTGAGTGTGGATGTATAAAGTCTCTTTCATACTCTGGCTTGCTTCGCTTAGCATTAGTCTTCCTTATTTGTCCACTTTGTATCAAATGTCAGGGTCTCGGTTTTTTATGGCTAAGTAGTATTCCATAATGTAAATATGTCACACTTTTTCAATCCACTCCTCTACTTTTTGGACATTTGGATTGGTTCCAGGTTTTAGCAATTGTAAATAATCCTACAATAAGCATGAATGTGCAAGTGCTTTTTTAAATTTTTTATTATTATCATAATCTTGTTTATATTACATTGAATCACATATAACTTTACAGTGTATTACATTTCTTTTTCCAGAAGGAATACCATTCATATCAGTCAATACAAAGGCATTAAAATCCCCATTATTATCTTCCAATATGCAAGTGCTTTTCTGACTGAGGGGTTTCTACCCTTTGGGTAAATACCTAAGAGTGGAATTACTTGGTCATATGGTAGCCCTATTTGTAGGTTTCTAAGGAATCTCCATACCGTTTATAATAGTGGTTGCACTAATTTGCATCCCCACCAAAAGAGTAGTAGAGTTCCCTTTTCACCACAGCCCTGCCAGCACTTATCATTATTTTTTTTAATTTTAGCCATTTTAACTGGAGTTCAGTAGCATGTCATTGTGGTTTTGATTTGCATTTCCCTTATGATAAGAGATATTGAGCATGTTTTCATATGCTTTTTGGCCAGTCGTATGTCTTCTTTGGAGAGTTGTCTCTTCAGTTCAT